TGGCATGGTCACTCCTAACTGCCCCCCACCATCCTGGTCGCCTCTTACTGCCCGCCCCTGCTGGCCTGGCCGCCCCCAACTGCCCCCCCTGCCGGCCTGGTCGCCCCTCATCCCCCCCTCCTGCGCCGCCAGCCTGGTTGCCCCACGCAGTCTGCTGTTCAGTCGTTTGGTCATCCTTACTAACCCCTCCTGCAGGGCTGAGGGGACTCGGCGCCGCCATCTTGTGGCTGTGGGTGTTGCCATATTTGAGGGCGTGGCAGCCAATTAGCATATTCCCTCCTTATTGGCTGTGAGTGCCGCCATCTTTTGCGATGGCATGAGGGTCGATTAGCATATTCCCTCTTTATTAGATAGGATGATTTTTCTGTATTTTAGTTGTAATTCTAGTTTGGTCCTGGGAGCATGTCAGTGTAGCATCCTCTCACTCTGCTGTCATTTTGGAATCTCCTTATTTTTCACTCCTTTTTCCTTTTTTTTTTAAATCCTCATCCAAGAATGTTTTTCCCATCGATTTCTAGAGAGAGAGGAGAAGGGGGGGGAATAGGAAGAGAGAAACATCGATGTGAGAGAGATACATTGATTGGTTGCCCTCCTGCATGTGCCCCTACCAGGGCTGGGGAACCTGCAACCGAGGTATGTGCCCTTGACTGGGAATCGAATCTGCAACCCTTCAGTTCATGGGCCAACACTCCAACCCCTGAACCACACCAGCCAGGGCAAGTTTGAGTTTTTTTAAATTTTGACAGTGAAACTAAACTAAGAACTATTTACCCTAAATTACTAGTACATCAGTCTACCTCCTAAGTAGATTGCCAGTTAACGATGGATTTCTTTAAGTTCTCTCATTTGTGATGTTAAAATATATATGCAGATTACTGACATAATTAATTTTACTTACGAACTTAAGATTTTGAAATATTTTTGCATAGTTGATTCATTCAGTTCTTGATGCAGGCATATAGCATGTCACATAGCAAAAATAATGCATTTAGACCTTGGAAATATATAGGATTGAATTTGAATCCTGGTTACCTTGAGTAAGTTATTTAATATTCATGCATTAATTATGTGCCAGGCATATGGGTGGGAGCAGTGACATGGGAAGAGGGTATGACTTCTGTCTTTAAAGAATTCAAGGACTTGTACCATTGACTTCAGCCTGTGAATCTGTTGTCTTGTTGACAAAATGGAGGTGAGAGAACTTAAAATTCCCAAAATAATACTTAGAGGAACCATAGATGCTCAATATGAGCTAGGTTATGTATTGTCATTCATACTATTTAATCATAGAACTACTCAGAGACATCAGATAAAGATTAAGCCCCTTTCTTGTTTGGGAACTGCATTGCCTTTAGAGATTTATTTGTCTTGATGTTTTATTCATTCGAATATTCTTTGTTCTGGCACTAGACATATTTGCCAAGCTTCTAGAATTTGAGGGCCCTATGCCATTGCCTTGTGCCTTTGCTCTTGGTTTTCATCTTATCTAAGCACAACAGTCTGTCAGACTCCACAGAAATTACTTGTTTTTTTAGCCTGATGAAAATACTTGCTATCAGTTAAAAGAACAAATCTGTAATTTGAAAACAAGCCATCATGTAGGGTAGGGGTCTGCCTACTTTTTCTGT